TGAGCTTCCTGATCACTAGTGTTTTGAACTGTGCATCTGATAGATTGGCTATCTCTTGGTCGCTCAAAAGGATGAGTCCTGGGGCATTGATCTGTTCTTCTGTTTGAGACCTCTCTCTCTCTCTCTCTCTCTCTCTCTCTCTCTCTCTCTCTCTCTCTCTTTTTTGGGGGGGGGCGGTCTGGTCGTGCCTGTTACGGTGAGGGGCAGAGCCTTAGGTGTTCACCGGGGCTGGGCACCCCAGTCTCTGGATTATGACCTTGTATGTGGGGGCAGGGGTGGGAGGGAACAATGGCGGTAGCTCCGTTCTCCTGGGATTGCAGTCCCTTCTCTGGGATCCTGGGTTGTGTGCTCTGACCTGGTCCACAATCACCACCTCACTGGGTCCGCCAGCTGCTGCTTGCGTACTCAGGGTCCACCCGCTGCGATCTTGTGCGCCCCAGATGCCTTACGCACTCCCGGTTGCCCTAAGCACCCAGTTCTCCCTGTTCTCCATATGCTGCGCCCTGAGCCCGGCTCCTCCTCTCCACCCCTCCTACCGGTCTGGATGAACGGGTCTACTTCAACTTCTTGGCTGTCCGACTTCCATTCAGATACATTCTCTATCAGTTCTGGGTGTTATTCTGCCTCTAAATTGTTGTTGTTCTAATCTTGGTTGTGCGTGGAGGTACGGTGCGTCCACCTATGCCTCCATCTTGCCGGAAGCCGGGTCTCTCATTTAAGCCTGCTCTCTAGGGGTAAAGTCTCCGTTCGGCTGCCTCCCATTCATCCGTCAGGACCTTCGACCAGGTTTGAAGGTCTGTTTCCCCTGCCTGTGTACTTACCCCAAGAGTATGTTTGATCTTCTGTTTCCTCCTCTCTGGGGGGTGTGGGGGCAGAGGCTGTGCCTTGCTCACCATCCCCTCTGCAGAATCGAGTGCAGTGCTTGGCATTTATTAATTTGCCAAATGCACAAATCAATGGTTCTTCCATCCCATGTTCGGCCACTCCTTGTTTCAGTTCCTTATCTGTAAAGCCAAGCTCCTTCTTTACTTACACCCCAGAATTTTCTGGAGGGCCAGACAGAATGACGCACCCTTCTCTGGAGTACACAATGTGGGGGGAGGCTGTAAGATGGTGTTGGATGTTCCCCGTGCGGCCGAGTGCAAGGGCAGCATCTGAGGCATCCCCTTGGTTTGTCCCCACTCCTGCCCTTCAGAGACACGTGTGTCCTTTCTGGTCAGTGCTGCCTTGTCAGAGAGAAGGCTGACGGAGACAAGCTTTCCTCCCGCTCCTGCCAGGGCAATGGGCACCCACTGGGTGCTCATCTTCATTTATCTACTAGCGAGCATTTGCCTCCTGCACACTTCCTGTTTTGATTGATTCAGCAGGTTTGCCATGATTAAGGCGGCCTCTTTGTTATTAAGATAAAGACTGACCTTTTCTTTCTCCAGGTGAATGACTGGTGAAAGATATGTATATATATATTTGCCCCCCCGGTCAGATTAATTGGATGGTTTCTATCCAGAGACCCACACATGCTGATTTCATGTTGAAATCTCTTTGTAAAAGGCACACTGCTAGAGAGATTACATCTAAGACCAACCAATGGGCACAAGGGACAAGGAGATAGATTTTTAAAATTAACTCATTATAAAGCAGAGCTGTTTAATAGAGGGGACTAGAGGTGAGCGGGGGGTGTCTCAGTTGGATGGTCACTGAGCTGCATGCTGGGAAGAGCCTTCCCTAAAGTCTGGAGGTGTAGGTTCTGGTCTCGTTTTATCGACAACAGCAACCACAATGAAACAAAAGTGGTAGTTAATGCCTATTGATTGCGTGCTCTGTGCCAGCACAGAGCTGGGCATTTTATGTGCTCTGTCTCACCTCTCGTAACACCGCGGTCCGGGGCTCATTTCTTCCCTTCGCCACTCCCTCGCTGTGTGACCTTCTGCTGGTTCCTTTACCTCTCTGAACATCGTCAGTTTCCTCGTTTATAAGAGTTGAACTAGGTAGCTGCTCCAGCTCTGTCTTGTGACACCCCCACCCTCTTTTCTTAGTATTTCTAAAAGCCCAGTAGAGGCCTAAGACCATTCAGGGGTCAAGCTTCAGTTTCCATGGAACTTGAACAAGTTTCACGGCTTGCTGAGCCACAGCAGCCCAGCAGCAGTAAGGGAGGAGGATGGAAGGGTCTGCCCGGTGAACCGGGGCCTCCGTTTATTCTGGTCTGGGCCTCTTTACACGCTTGCTGGCCTACAGTGGCTTCACCTCTTGCACTCAAGACAGTTTGGGGCCAGAGGCTTCAGGAATTCTCTGGATACATAGATGCAAGGATCTAGAACTACCTCCAGTTGCTGCATGAGTCCAGGGGTTTAGCTTCCGACCCGTCCTGATGGGAGTGTAGGGCCAAGCATGGACTTGGCCTGCCCCTGGTGCATACCCTTCAGGGACTCAGGAGGGTGGTGGGGGTGGGAAGGAGCATTCTATCAACACTGTTGAGAATTGCAGTGCATGGTAATAACAAAATCAGACTGAATTTTATTTTTGAAGTCTCTAAAGATAATATACCCCTTTATTATCTGCACACAGGGCCAACTTCTCCCACTGCCTGTCTTTATATGTCTCTGAGCACAAGCTCAGGATCTGTCGTAAGACTCTGGGGGATGTGGTGAGAAGGGGTTGTTTATGGAAGCCAGGGATGGACGGAGCAAGCTGCTCTTGGGGCATCCAAGATCTCCTCGGATTTCTCTAGCAAGGGGTCAGAACAGGGGAGCCCATCATTCTTTCAACACTGAACAAATATTTGTTGAGTGCCTACTTGCTAATAGGCCCTTGCATTATATAGTAATATATAATGTCATTTAATCATCTTTAGTTCTTTAAGACAAGCAGCATTGCTATAGATAAGGAATTCGAGCTCAGAGATGTGAAGTAATTTGCACAGTTGAGCTGGGATCTGTATCACTCCCAAACCTGTTGTTATAAAACAATATTCACCTGAGTGAATTTGAAGGTCTAATTGGCTTTATTAAGTGATTTATTGATTGGGCAGCTCCTATGTAGCAACTAGAATGGTGCTCTGAGGGGTTGTACAAAATAGAAGGTGTTTACAGGAAGAAGGGTGGGTCAAGGGAGCTATTAATAAAAGAAAGGATTGTTTTACACAAGGACATCTTAAGCGGGGAGGGAATGGCAAGGGTTTTTGTGCAGATTGCTTCCTTCTTCTGTGGGGAACAGAGGGGCCCATGTGACAGATGACCTCAGTGGTGCTGACCAGAAGATTTCAGGCTGGTGGATGAAGATGATATTTCTGGTAGAGGTTGAAACAGCAGTTAAATCAGGTATTAAATCTGGGTTTGGTGTCGTGGCTTTTGGCACAAGGGATGCCATTTTGGGCCCATGTTTTCCCTTCAATAAGTCCCATCTCTGATCAAACTCTCTGCAACTCGGTTGATCTGTGGCCAAGTGCCTGACACTTGGCTTTGTCTTTGTGACATTCACAGGTCACACTTTCAGGTTCATGATCCTCACATTGGTCCTTCTCTTCATTCCCTGTTTGATGTCTTAGGGAGATCACTTGCTTGGCAGTTAGTGGCTATAAACGTGCATTCCAAACTTCTGAGAGAACGCAGCACCAGGGCAATTATGATGATGACAAAAGCAGGATAACTCCCACTGTTCGGAGTGTACTTCAGGGCCATAGTCGGCAAGACCCAAACTGATCCAAAAAAGACCCCATGAGAGGAGTCATCCTTTTAAGCCAAATGGCTCGCTCAGTGATCTTACGTAACCACAGTGCTGACCCAGGTATAGCGGGTAGTGTCGGCCAAGCACAGACCTCTCCTTGCTCAGCTAAAGATAAGCAAGGGCTCTTCCATTGTCAAGAACAGTTTTGGTCAGAGAGTCCAAGGATCTTTGCCGGGCAGTTAACACCTTAGCACAGGAATCTGCAGCATCCAAGGGTTAAGGCGGGGTTTCTGATCATATTCCCAGTTGTATCTATTCCTAACCAGGAAAATATGGCCCTGCCAAAGGAAGCAATTGCTGAGTCATGAATGCCTCCTGGTACGTCCTTTCTAGACGAGTTAGGGGCATAGTTAGATCATCAGAGGCGTAGGCCAGCTGTGCACCAGCCATCTAGGCATTCACAGACCCAAGGAGAATAACAAGCACCTCAGAGACTAATCCTGTCGGTGCACAGTGGCCCGTTCAAAGCAGGGGTCAGTAGGGGCTTCTCCCAGCCTGAACTAAAAGTTGTTCTCAACTTCAGAGGTTACCCATCCCTTTTGCGGTGGCCTTGGAGATACAGATGGCGGCATTATCACTCCAGGCCAAGGCCAGAGTAAAGGAAAGAAAGGGAAGAAGAAAGGATCTCATGTTTAGCTAAAGCAGGAAGTACTGACCTGGCGTCTCAGGCGGAAGCAGCCAGCATTGATGTCTGTCGCTTCTCTTCCACGTCGATTTGATTTGGAGGCTCCGGCATGTGGGCAGGACCAGGGGTCACGTGAGGTGTTTTTCAGTTGTAAGAGATACCTCTACGGCTCAACTACCTAAAGTCTGGCTGCCACCCGGGTAGTGAGGAGGCCCTGGGATAGTCCCTTCCGAGGAGCATGGTGCTTCCCACTCAGGAGGCTGGAGGACAATTGGAAACAGTACCTTGGGGAGTCGTAGCCAGATACTCGAGGAAACTCCTATTCAGCATCCAGTTCCGTTTACAGGTATTTTAAAAGCCTCAAAGACGATGAACAGCACCACAATCTAATATCTACAATGGTGTAAACATCCTATTTCTCTATAATCACCCATATATATACACATATATTTTAAAAATATTTTATGTATTTATTTTCAGAGGGGGGGGGAGAAAAAGAGAGGGAGAGAAACATTGAATAGTTGCCTCTCACATGACCCCAACCGGGTATCCGGCCCATAATCCGGGCATGTGCCCTGACCGGGAATCAAACCTGCAGCCCTTTGGTTTGCAGGCCGGCGCTCAACCCACTGAACCACATCGGCCAGGGCAGAAATCACCTGTATATATTTTTATTGAAGAAAATCTCAGTGAAACTAAATTTGTCTGCATTAAGTTTGGCCTGATTACTTACGTAAGCGTAGTGAGAATATGTAGGTTCTTCTTCAGGCTGCTTTTCTGGGGCCTTGTAAGGCAGGGCACCAGGTCGGTTTTCCAAAGCAGTTCCTTGAAGCTGTCTGATCATATCTGAGTCCACGCACATCTCCCTCAAATACAACATTCCAGTCAAAGCCTCAGCCACACAGCCAGTGTTTCCCATTGTGTTTTGTTGCAAGGAGAAGAGATTATTATTGAACTTATGCAAATAAATATATTGTCATAAAAATAAGAAGGCTCACAGAATTTCTGAATTCTGGAGGGATCAAGTAAGGAGAAAAATAAATGTTTCATCTTTGTTCACAAAGGTATATCTTACCAAATTGTTGATAGCTTAAGAGAAAAGATTTCTTTAAATCTGGAAAAACAAAACATTGCAGCGTCCTCCTGTGTTTATGCCGCCTTGTCCATGCAATCAAGGCTTCTGCCTGGGTCCAGCTTTTCCATTGGTTCTCTTGCCCTTGCCTGGTGACTGAGGGTGTCAGGGACAGCGACACATGGAAGAAGTTTGCCAGTCTTTCATCCAGGCTTGTGTGGTTTGCCCACTGAAGTGGGCACCTCCGTCACTGGAGGCTGTGGAAGGTGCACCCCACGTGGGAAACACATTTGCTAACATGCACGTGTGGCTGGTGATGCTGCCCCTGGTCTGAGCTCTGGAACTCCCCTGGTCTGCGTGTGCCCGTCACACGTAGTTAGAGTGTGGTGCTGTCATCAGTCTGTGCTGAAACCAAGCACAGTAGTTGGGAAGGTGGGCCTGCTGTGTTGTCATGGATACCTTGCCACAGGGGGTATCCATGAAAGGAAAAGGGCAAAACCCAAATGCTGTAGCACTGGACAGAGGAACTGAGGCCTTGAACCTGGCTTTCCGTGACCGTGGGCCAGAGCAGCCTCATTAGCATTTTTCCAGGAGCTTCGTCTAGCTGAGTCAAGTGCATGGAAAATGTTTTCTTTCGCTTTGCGTGTTTTCCCCAGGGCCCCCTCCCAGTGCCCCTCAGCTCCTCTTCCCAATTTCATGCATTCCCCAGAAGCTTGTCCTGTGCCCAGGCTCAGGGCGCAGAAGCAGCTCCATGCTGCTGGACATAAATTCCCGTGGAATGCGAGCAGCAGCAAGGCATCAGGTGAGAGTCTGATTTTGTGTGTGTGAGAGAGAGACACACACGGACAGGTGCTGATCTGCCAGTTTGAGTAAACTCCCTCCAAACGCCGCCGTCTGATTCCCGAGGAGCTATTTGGAACGTTCCCAAGGTAGAAGAACAGCGAGCACAAACAGCCTTGAGGTAGTAGGGGGAAGCCAGGTTGTTTTCTCTTGGCAGCGATTCCTTCCTTGCCTCGGGAAGGCGTGGGGCAGGCTGCGGTTCTCAGGAAGCGCTCTGGGCCCACGCTCCTAAGTGGTCTCGGGGGTGCTGGGGCTTTCAGCCAAGTAGCTGGTTGTCACTGAAAGCCAAACATTTGGTTTTGAGTGCAGTTCCCACTTGGAATTCATTTCCAGCACCTCAACATAGGAGACCTCAACGTATGAGACGTCGCTGTCGTTGTTTATTTATTTTCTTTTCTTCTTAGGCTTGTTGTTTCCTGGCGAGGAGCCAGGGGAGTTTCTGTGAGGGCCGGAGTCCCCAGGTGTTTGTAAGATGAGGAAAATGCTCGGATGGTGTGTGAAGGGGATGCACAGGAGTCAGAGAAGAGGGAATCAAGCCGACTCTGGCTGAATTACCTTGTTGCTCTTCTGTCTGAGGAAGTGAAGTCAGAAGCAATGTGATCTCCCATTGTCAGATTCACCATTATCCCCTCCCTCCCATCCATCCATCCATCCATCCATCCATCCATTTTTCCCTCCTTCCCTCCCTCCTCCCTCTCTCTATCCATTCTTTCTTCCATCTATATTAGAAAACTAACTTGAGCATCTATTATGAGCTGAGTGATACAGGTGAACAAAACACAGCCCCTGCTTCTAGAAATGCTTGAGTGGGCAAGACAGACACAAACAGGATGCATAATGTCGCCAGGCACTTATTACTACAGAAGCTTGTGCCGCAGTCCAGGGAGCACAGGACAAGGGCTGCAGCCTCTGTCTGGTGTAGGGGTCAGGGGTCAGGAAAAGCTTCTTAGAGCAGTGGTCCCAGCTGAATCTCCTCTGGTGAGGAGGCTGGAGAGGTTGGTGTAGGAACCGGGGCTGTAGGGTGGGGGGTCATCATGGAAGGGGACAGAAGAGGGTGCATTAAGGGTATAGCAGGGAGACATTGACTAGGTGGTTTTCAAACACAGGAGGCAGGGAGTGGCGGTGCCACTTATAGAGGCTTCTGCAGTGATGTGGCCAGGCTGCCAGCACCCTGGGTGGACGGGGTGTGCAGGCATCTGGCTCAGGGCCAAGTGGCGTGGCTCTGTTAACAATAAATAGTAACAAAAACAAGCACTTACCCAGTTACTTCATAACAAGCCTAGTGACAAGTGCTTTGAATCCATTGTCCCGCGTACCCCGAGTGTGGCCTGTGTATCATGCGAGGTTATTTTAGGTGACACCCAGCGGAGGCGTTGAATAACACTGCGTCACACTGAGAGTGAATGTCCATCTTTGTCCCTTCTCTCTTTCTGTCACTACGCTTAGTCAGCAAATGTTGCAATTCCTGCCTCTGAAATGCCTTCTCTTCCCCTCCCTTGCATGTTCCCCACCTCCCTGCCTCTACGTGAGCTCTGTTTCGTGAGTTCCTGTGTGGGCAGGAAGGTTCCCAGGCATTTGTTCACAGTGGGCAGTTAACTGGGGAATAAAACAAGATTATTCTGGGGCTTACCTTTCTGGAGGCAATCTTCGAATCTGGAAGGAGAGAACCTCTCACAGGTTGTTTGGACTTTACCGAACGTGTTAACCTGCCATCGGGGTAGCTAGAAGTTGGCTATGGATGAGAATAAACCATGGTCTTTCGGTGCAGCCTCTGGGTTCTAGGGTGGATGCAGCTGAACTTCGACCCCTGGATGTTTCTGTAAATTCATGTGGGTTCTGTCCCATTGGAGGAATGCATCTTTTCAGCTGACCAAAACTAAGTAGCAATATTTCAAAACTCCTGGTTCAGGGGAGAGTGCAATGTTCACAGTCCAACTGAACGAAGAACCTCCCTGAAGTTCCGGCGCATGCTCAGCGTCACCTTCTGCCTGGTCAAACTACAGCTGAAGTTTCTGAGGCTGTTGACATTAAGACTCCACCTCCACCTTCAACTTCATAGACTCATTGATTACTGGCGTCTCTCACAAGACCACCCCCTCCCCCAACCCAAAGAAATGAGAAGTACTTGAATTCAGGCATTCTGGATGCCACAGTTAGCTTGAAATACACGAAATGGGTAGAAAAGATAAATGTAGCCACAGGTTCCTTGAAGCATGTTACAAGGTGATATTGAACAGGCTCACGCAATTCAGCTTTCTTGTAGCCAACTGAGCGTGCGAGCAACTGTCACCACTTTTGGGGAAGGGGCTGTTGAAACCCCCTGGTATTGCAATGACTCCTCAACCACTGACCTGATTCCCAACTGGTTTTCTTTGTTTCCATCCTTCTGGCAAAATTCTTGTTTTGTCTCCTTTGCTTAAGAATCTTGGCGTTCAACACTTTCCACAGCTCAGGAGCCCACACGCAGTCAGGTGACGACATTCTCTCAGCCACTCATTTCCCGGTTTTCAGGAGAGTTACCTGATTATTTATTTATTTTTATTTTTAATAATTTTCAGTTTATTTATTTATTTTTTTGCCAGATTGATGTCACAGGATACCAATGGGTGGCTGTGCTTGTACCAGGCATCCACCCCTGGACCAATCAAATGTGACGAGGAGGTGGAGTCATGGGGCTTGGAACCTAATCAGGCTGATTCACCAGGACTCTGGCAGGGAAAGGATTCCCCCAGGGAAGGATGTAGGTGGGTTAAGTGCAGAAAGTTGAGATTAAATCAAGTAATGAGCAGTTAAGTCCTTTGACTATTTAAAGAAATAAAGATTTAGGGGAGACTTGAGAGCTTCCTTAATTTTTCTGAAAGACTTGTCCCATGGATGTGGAGGCCCTTGTTTCCTGCTTAGCTTCAGAGAGTATAACAAGACCCAACCGGTCGGAGTTGAAATCGTGGTGCTGAGCGTGTAGAGAAAACAGACGCTACTGAGAACTGTTCCCAGTCGGACGCCTCTCACAGTCATGGGTTTCCTCCGTGGGAAGTGTTTGAACAGAACCTGGTCTGTGTATTTGGAAAGATCTAGATCGGTTGACCTTGAAAAGTTCTTCCCCACCTTTACAATTCCAAGGACTGGCTTTTAAGGGTTTCTTCTCACCTACATTGGCAACACGTCTAGGCGAACACATGTGCACCTCTGTGTTCAGCACCTGGCCTGTGGCCCTTGGCGCCGTCGAGGAGCATTTCCTGATTTGTGTGTCTCAATCTGACTGCGGAATCATGGGAGGCGCTTAACCATCTGGCTGCCGCTCCCTCAGGTTTCCTGGAGCACTCGCTGCTTCCAGCTAGGTTTGGTAGTTTGGGGCTCATCGCATTTTCTAAATAGCTAAGCAATTTTAATACAGGGAACGAGAGCAAGGCTGATGACAAAGCCACCCTGTTCTTGAGAGGAAAAAAAAAAGTGCTTGACTGCCTGGATACAATCTACTAGTGATTTTGAATCATTGGACTCATTTGTAACTAACATTGTAATTAGAGTTAAACCACCAAAGCCAAGATTAAAGACACCATCTGGTCTGCTGTTTGGAGAGAGGGATAGGACATTCCAACCTTGGGGAATGGAGTTTCTGGGGCTCCTGCAAATGACCTTGTACTTTACTTGACTTCTTTCTGTTTCAATCTCCTCTGTGATGGATGGCAAACGCCGCACTGAAAAATCACAGATGTTTCCCAAGACCTTGACGGAATGGTCCCCTTCATTCTCTGGCTCGCGTCCAGCAGCACCAGATCTGAGGATGGGCACCGAGAGCCTGCTGAATGCAAGAGACTGGGCTAGCTCCTGAGGATGAAGAGCACACAGCGTCATCCTTTAAGGAGACCAGAACCGAAAGGCGAGGGCCAGACACAAATACTCGAACAGCTGAAACGATCAGTCTGAAGAGGTCAAAGTAGAGGGACCCCACGGTGAGAACGTAAAAGAATGGAGGGATCGCTGTGGCCTGCAGTCACCTGTGGACACTTCATTATGGAGGTGTTAGCTGGGCTCGGCGGACTTGGATAGGTCATAAGTGAATTCGAGGTACCTAGAGCCATGACGAGCTGGGCAGGTTGCTGAAACGCCAAGGCCCCTTCAGAGGGCTGTGAGTCCAGCAACGTGAGGAGAACATTCTCATAGGATGTTAGTTTAGCATTCTTTCCTGGCAGACGGGGAACACAATGATTGAGTTTTGTATCCTCAGCATGTATACCCAGCACTCTTTCTGTAAACTTTGAAAGAGCGTTTCAAAGGCATTTCTGTTCTGCATCACTGCCCTTGACCTTGACTTATAAACTTGCATTGTTGACTGTACATTCTTGCCATGTGCCCCTTGAGCCAAGAATCCTGCTTCCTCTAACCCCCACTTGTGGAGCCTTGATTTGACCTTGGCAGTCGCAAGGAAAACATGTCGCCTCATTTCTGTACCCTGGTCTTTCCGATATTTTCAGTTGGCTGCTACGCATCCCGGACTGTTGTCTCTCGTGAGTTAAGCATCTCCATTCCTCGCTTTGTTTTCCTGAGCAGGGTCCTCACCGTTCTGAGTACCTCTCGTTGACACGAGCAAGCTGCTGTGGGTACTAGTTCTGGCCAGTTGAACACCTTCGGGTGAGATGATTGGGGATAGGAATGACCTATGTTTTGATGATAGCTTTCAATAAATGCAGTTACCTCTCTTCAAAGGAACTCTTTGTCTGTTGGCACCCTGTCAGCTGTGGACTTCTCTGGGATGTGGACCAGAAGGGTCCATGCGGGAACGCCTGCCTCAGAGAGCCGTGGAGAGACAGCTCCTTGTTCCCTGTGCCTGCCTTCTTCCACCTCCAGTCTATTTACTGTAGAAAGGATGTGTGAACACAGGGAGCACCCACCTCTACCCAGCTTCCAGAACATGAGCCTCACTGAACTTTCCCTTTCTAGATGATCTTTACCGTCTCACTGGCATTCGCTTCCGAAGTTATTCAGGCAATGAGTCACTCGTTCACTGAAAACCATGTATCCTGGCCCTGTGCTACAGACACAGGTTCAGAACCCGTGGTCTCCGGATTACAGGCTCACAGGGAGAGGCTCCAAGGGGACTGGGTGCTGAAACGAGTGTCGTGGGGACACAAGACGGCCATGAAATGGGCAGTGCAGGGGGAGGCGGAGGGAGCGCACGGCCAGAACTTCACCGTGACTAGAGTGTGTGCCATCTGAGAGCAGGCGCTGTGCCATGTCCATTCACCGAGCCTCTGCTCCTGGCAGGGCCCCTAACACGTGATAGATGCTCAGTAACTCGTTACAGGAGGAGCGGAATGAGGTGCTGCCTTCTGTGAGCGCATGAAGAATGGGCCCATCAAGTTGTTATTCAGCACGAAACATGCCGTCTCTCCCAATGACTTCATGTTTCCACTTACACTTTGCTCACCCCCACGGGGACCTCGGCTGGGTTCTGCAGGCCACCTGTTTCCCAGCCCCGGCGAAAGGAGAGGCGATGTCCTGTTCCCGTGCAATGCCACCCGTGTCCTTCCTCAGACTGACTCTCCTTCTGTATCCCCGAGGCTGCCACTTCTCACCTCCCCGGTGGGACCAGTGTCCAGATGCCGATCAGAAGACCTGGGTTCCGGCTACTCCACGGTCGTCTCCTTGCGGTATCTGCAAATCACACGACCACGAGGCAGACACTGACCCTGCGTGGTGTTTGCATTCCCCCGAGCACCTGGTGCGTTCAGTGAAATACGTGCAAATCGTTATATTGCTCCATCAGTTCTCCTGTGACAGAGCCGGGGAGGTGTCCTCACCCCACTTATAACGAGGAAGCCTCGAGGAGCTGAGCTTGCCCAAGATCAAACTGTTACCAAGACTGGCGACTCAAACCCCCGACTTTCATTTCCATTATTACGTTTAAAATAAAATTTCTCCGGATTTTGAAAGATAGAGATGTTCCCTGTAGAAAATCTGGATAAAATCACAACACAGAGCTACTTGCTGTTAACCACTTGGTTTTTCTTTCGGTCTGTTTAATTTCCATGTTCGGATATGTTACAAGTATATACAGGTTCACATTTGTGTTGCTGTTGAAATCCTATCACACGTACCATTTTATAACCTGCTCTTTTGAGATATAATGTCATAGAGCATTCTGTGACTTTCGCAGGATTCCGTATTTGTATGTTTTGTGAAATAATTGCCACAGTAAGTCTACTTAATGTCCATCACCACATAGTTATAACTTTTTCCCTTGTGATGAGGTTTGTAAAAATCTTCTCTCTTTTAGCAGCTTTCAAATATACAGTACAGCGTTATCAACTGTAGTCATCATGCTGTACACTACATCCCCAGCACGCATTTCTTTTATTTTCACCAACTTTATGCATTTTGTTTACTGCCCCCCACCCCGAGCCTGTGGCAACCACCAACATGTTTTGTGTTTATTATTCAGGTTTTTTTTTTTTTTTGAGTCCACATATACATGAGATTATATGGTAGTTGTCTTTTTCTGTCTGACTTATTGCAACAGAACCTGCCTTTTGCTTAATTAGAATATCACTCATTTATTCGGCGTGCATCGAAGGAGCATCTCTCGTATGCCAGGTGTGAATAGGTCCTAGAATCAGGTGGGCAGACTGGCGTTCCACGAGTGATCACAGTCATACATGCAGAGTCGGAGACTGAGACAAGTCACAGGGAGGAGGGAGAAAGTACCGGGAGGCAGGAAACCAGGAGACCGGATGTAGCTGGGGACCTCAGGGAATGGCTTTCTGGGGGAGTGGCCCCTGACACCCAGTACCGTATTTTGTCGTGTATAATGCGCACCCACGTTCTTGGCCCAAACTTTTAGGGGAAACAATCTTTCATTTTATTTTTTAAATTTAATTATTTATTTATATTT